GCTTCCAGTGAGCTTTCTACCCGGAAAAGCTCACCGGAAGCACTTTTTCATCAAAAAAAGATGGCGGCGCCCAGCAAGCCAGCGGCCCGGTAGGACTTGTTCCACGGACCGGTACCGGTCCGCGGACCGGTGGTTGGGGACCCCTGGTATAAGTCATCCTTATTTAGCAATTTCCCATTTTTATAATCATTCATAGTGATGAAGAAGTAACTTTGCAACTAGTCTTCATATTTACAATTTTCACAGGTCTGTAAGGCAAAGGAAAGCTGAAATAAGATTATAAGCACAGTTATGGTTTGCCTTAGAGACCACTTCACTTAATAATAATTAATAATAGTATTGTCAAGCCCAATCGTGGTTGTTAAACAAGAATTATGTGTATTGGTTTCCTAATTAACCAGGGCAGGTGTCCTACCTTGATATCTTCTTTGGTCAGACGTGGCCATGGCACTTTATCCTTCCACTTGCGTGCAAAGAGTGTGATGGACCTGCCTGACCGTTTATTTTGGGAATCCTGAAGTGATTACATTGTAGCAAAAAAAAAAAACAATTAATTCTTCTACAAGTAATTGCAATTGCAATTAGTTGTATATATTTAAGTTAATTTAGTCCTATAAATACTGATGAAATCCATATTTGAGGGCCACATTTTTCCTTTTATTTGCTTTGAAAGGTTCCCTCCATCCAGCATATACATGGACAGCCAGAGTAACTAACAGAGGTATTAAATCATATAAAACCAGACACGTCAATAGAAACTAAAATCATAAGATTATGTCTGATTTACTTTGGTCCTGTCATGCGTGCAAATTCATTGAAGAAGGCAATAATGCTAGAAATGGTTTAGTAGATGAAGAAGGGGCAAGCAAAGAGCTCTCTGACTTGATACCACCACAGCTGATGGAAAGTTTAACATCCAACAATTAAAAGTAACTGTGCTTGATAGGATAGCATGGAGAGCATTTGCCTATAAAGTCGCCAAGAGTCAGACACGACTAAATGGTTAAAACAAATAAAACATATTTACACATTTTCATTTAAGCAATAGTATAGAAATAAAAGATTGGTTAAAATAAACCCTTAAAATAGAGCTAACCAAAAAGTAGTAGTTGAGATATGCAATGATATAATCTCAAGAATGGATTCATTCTATTCAATACATCACTGAACAGTTGAATCTACACCATACAACAAAGAAAAGTAACAATAAAATCATCACGTCTATGGTATTATATCACTGTTCTTAAAAAAAAAACTGGTTCTTTACAGTCAGAGAAAACAGAGAAAATTTGAAACCTAATAATTTATTGACAACATCACATAGATGTGTCATAGAGTTAATAAAATATGATTAATCCAAAAGTGCATTTCCTAGCGAAATTTTTCTTGTGTAATCATCTTCGTTTCTGGAATTTTCTACATACGAGTTGTTAAATGTTGTCTCCCACTTATAATTCTCACAAACAGGGCAGCCAAAAGGATAGAGTTGAGGTGGGTAGAGAGGCAAGTGAGAGTGTAATGATAGACGGTTATTTATTGAGGCTCAGGGCTGGGAGGGACCAGCTCAGAATAATTTAGATTGTGGTGGGTACTCACTTAATAACCTGTAATTCTCAATTTATGACCATAGTGGGGAGAGTTGCTGTCATAAATGTGTGGTCACATGACATCTTGCTTTATCACCATACCAACTCACAATATAAATTTCAGTTCCAATTAAGATTGTAAATTGAGGATTATCTATATCAAAGAAAAACAAATGTACTCTTTTATTTTAAGATGGTCCTCTCCATTCATCTGCTTACCTTGGAATTTACTCTAGCATAAAACTGAATCTCGTTGTATATTTCAATGCCATCAGCATTCTTACAGCTGCAGAAAGATACACGGTAAATACTTATTTGAAATTTTCTGTTTTCACAAATGCTACTGCAGATAGTTGGCTTAGTAAACTAGCTATTACAGGTAGTCCTCAATTTACAACTCTTCATTTAGTGACTGTTTGAAGTTGCTACAGCACTGAAAGTGACTTAGAACCATTCCTCACACTTACAATTATTATATCATTCCCAGTGATCAAAATTTGATCATTTATTTGGGCACTTGGCATGAATTAATGGCAATTGTAGCATTCTAGATCATGTGATCACTATTTATGACCTTTCCAGCTGCTGACCAGCAAAGTCAAATGGGGGCTAACCAGATTTGCTTAATGACCATTGAGTCACTTAACTGCAGTGATTCACTTAATAGGTTAAAAAGGTTGCAAAATCAGTGCGCAACCTACTTAACAACTGCCTTGGGGAATGGTCCCAATTAGTGATTTATAAGTCAAGGACTACCTGCATATTACTTAAACATTACTAATCCATCTTCTGAAGCCAAACTTTCCATTTTTAGAGAAGAAAGCAGTTGTGTGAAGAATTAGACTAATTACTGATCATGTGTGAATGAGAATCAGAAAACCGACACACTTATACAGTAACACAATCCAATGTATTTTTTTTGTAGAAATAAGTTCTATAGTGTTCAATGGAAAATAAAAGCTAGACATTTGTATTTGCTTATTAACACCAATATTCATGTTTTTTTCCCTCCTAAAACAGAAGACAATGTTTTCTTACCTCAATATTACCTTGTAATCATCAAGGTCCACTTTTACATCCCTGCTGTCTTCCACGCAGAATTCTAGAAATACGTATCGCGGACGGTCATACCATAGAGTTTTGGCTGCTTGTCTTAAGGAAACAAAAGAAGAATACAGAGGGGTGGTAAAAGTGTGAATGCCATCTCACCAAAAAAATATGGAACCTCAAACTATTCCATATTATGGTTGGCTGTACAGATATTTAGATTGGATCTGGCATTTTTATCCAGATAGATCCTTTCCAATGTTCTGGAAAAGCCAGATATTGTTTGATGGTATTAAAGGTATTGTCATAGGATATAAACTGTTCCAAGTGAACTGCCTTTTTCAGTTGATTGATGGTAATTTTGTCAACACCAATGGTGTTCAAATGATACTCCCATTGTTTTGGGATCGCACCTGCCACCTAATAATATTGATACTATCTTTGCTTTCTTTTGCCATAGTCACGCGACTTCTATTTGCAGGTCCTGTATTTTGTTATCTTCACCGGTTCTCATCTATTCTCCTGTCTGTAGGTATTGTCATGTCCACTATCTAGATTTTATTATTATCTCATTTTATATACCTCAAGGCAGTGAACATACTTAAAACAGATAGTCCTCAACTTACAACCCCAATTGAGCCCAAACTTTATGTTGCTAAGTGAGAAATGTGTTAAGTGAGTTTTGCCCCATTTCACTTGCCACGTTTGTTAAGTGAATCACTGCAGTTGTTAAATTAGCAACCTGGTTAAGTGAATCTGGCTTCCCGATTGATTGTGCTTGTCAGAAGGTACATAAGGTGATCCCGTGACCCCGGGACATTCAAAAATGTGAGTCAGTTGTCAAGCATTTGAATGTAGCTCATGGACCACAGGGGTACTGTAATGGTCATAGGTGTAAACAATGGTGGAACAATTTTCAGTGCTGTTGTAACTTTGAATGGTCACTAAGTGAATTGTTGTAAGTCAAGGATTATCTACATTCCTGCCTTTTATTTTCAACACAACCATAACCTGAGGTGGACTGGGGAGAGAAAGAGTGATTGATCCAAAGTTAGCTAGGTAGCTTTTACGCCTAAGAGAGGCCTAGAACTCCTAGTCTCCTAGTTTCTAAGCCACCATTGTAACAGCTACACCAAACTGGCAAATTATAATACAGAGTTTCATTGTCAGGATTCCAGCAATCATCCTAATTGAATCATGAGTCTCGAGCCAACTTCAAAAAACTTCAAAGAATTTATTAGGAGCGACATATTTAAATTATTGCAAGGTACTATGTATTTCATGTTTTATTCTCAGTTGGTCTTACAAGAATTTTATGATTCTTAAAACAAATATATGTAAATGCCATTATAAAGCTATTTTATTTAGAACAGAATCATCTGGTAGCTATTGATCTGTATAGCTCAATTGACGGAGGAACTATTCATAATGATCACCAGGACCAAATGTCTTATGAAAAAGGTCCTCTTGCTAAGCATGAGGGTGAGGGTCATCAAATCTTTGATTGAGGTTCAAAATGGCTTAATTCCGAAGTGGGTTCCACTCAGTGGTAGGTTTCAAAATAGTTTATCACAGGTTCGGTGGGGTATGGCTTGGTGGATGCACTTCGTGCATTCAAAGAGGCTTTCTGACTCACCTCCTGCAATCCTGCACTCTCCCTGTCGCTTCAGCAGCTGATGTGGGGCAATCTGCTGTGCCACGCAAAGCAGCTGCTGTGCTTCAAAAGCAAGGAATAAAGGTCAGTATGGGATCCCGGGTGGGCAGGTGGGTGGGTAGACCCAACAGCAGCTCCAGCAGCTCTACAGAGAGAACCAGTTTGGTCTCCGCCAATCTTTGGCGCTACCAGTATGCCAGAACCAGACCAAACCAGTAGAATACCACCACTGTTTCCACTCCCATGGTCAGCAGTAAACAACCCAAATTAGTTACAGTACTAACCATTTTTAAAGTATTCTTTTAAGAGCTAATCTGTGTCCTGCTGACTATGGGAGTGGAAGCCACTTTGAAATTAAGCCATTTTGAACCTCAATCAATGCTTTGATGACTCTCACCCAGTCTACGCCTAGAGCAAGAGATTTCCCTAAGAGGATTGCACACCCCTGTGTGAAAGAACCTGCTTTCAGGTTATATGGGTATAATTGAGAACTACAGAAATAGATCTGAAAAATGCCCAATAACATCAATATGGACTCTGAATGGGCACTCAGTAACTGATTTGGCTCTACTGCGATGTATGGTGATGTATGGTGAGTCTTAATGGAACCCTGGCTCCCTCACAATAATACTAACAATTGTCTTTTGATTCAGTAGACTTCAATAGGAGAAACTGCAGTCACTTTGGGAAGAGTTCTCCAAGCTACTGAAAATTAAACAGAATTGGACTTGGTTAGCCTTCATCAAACTGCCTGTTCTATTGCATTTCTTCCTACTGATCACACAGATACCAGACTGTCAATATTGTCAATAACAATATAATTGATTGGATTTATACTGGGACTCATGAAACCGGGGAATAATAGAAAAACTGGATATTCATTTGTATGCTTTTAATTATTGGCATGTTCTAATAGATGCAATTATTATTGATGTATCATGCATCCACAATGCATATGGGCAAAACAAGACCTTGAACAAACCCTGATCAAGTGAAACTCTAGGAAAAACTTGCAGAAGATTGGGCATGACAGATTGTGAGGGTTGTCACTTGTTGGGATAATTGGCCTTGTACTGACCCTTTCAAATTAATTCATAAAATGTAGGATTGCATAGTTTGAAGCACTACATCACTTTTTCTTCTAACAATGTTACTTAGGAACCCCTCTTCCTAAAGATGTTTCCCTTATGATGTTACAAATAGACAAAAGATATGGTTATGAACTACACCCATTAAGTAAGTGTGTGTGTGTGTGTGTGTGTGTGTGTGTGTGTGTGTGTGTGTGTATACAAGGGGACAATTATGAGAATTTTTATATCAAAATATATTTTCCTTATACTGTTTCCATCTTCCTTTAAAATATTAATAGAATCTAGAATGGTCTGTCTCCACTAGATAATTGACAGTAGAGCGGAAACTAAATTAATCAATTAAAATTAGCAAACTTGCTCAACCCCCCTAAACAAGTTACTCAGACCTAATTCACAAATCATAACAGGAACATTAGCCTGAATTGATCATTGAACAAAGAGATCTGCTTGCTATTCTGTAAAATATCACTTATTTCTGTCCGCTCAGTTTGAAAAAGGATACTAGAAGGATCACACAATGTAATAGAATTGAAAAGGTAATCAATTAAATGTTTACAGCTGCTGGCACAAATATCACATTTTAATATAGTGAATATTAGAGATCTGAGAAAGTAGGCTTCCTGACCAACCAGACAAGGCCATAGATTTTTATTTTTGAGGGGATCCCAGAAGTTAGATCATCAGATCAGATCAACTGAAAAAGAAAGATAGAAAAAGTCTTATCAAAGAGCTGTCATCAAACCACAAGCACTCACCTTGCCATGATGGCTGCCGTTTATTATGTTCTGTGTCCCTCAGCCTCCCTGCCCTTTCAGGCAGACAGGCTTATATGATCCCCTTGGGCCAGGCGGAGCTAAATTCATAGGCTCCCCCTCCCCAGTAGTTGCTGCCCAGCACTCTTCCAGAAATATCCTGACACGTTCCATAATATACCATAGGTGCCATATATCTATTTTAAGTAGATACTGTAGTCACTTTGATCCTTACAGTTTAGTTGAACAAAAACTTTCTTGGGTATGCCAGTTTAAAGCTAATTTAAGAGTAAGTATTTTTAATATTTTGGCAGAAACTTTTCAGGAATCGTGTAAATTTGTACTGCACATTTGCTTAAGGAATTACACTCAAGATTTCTGCTAAGTAAATTAATTCATTTCATTTTAGAAACACACTAAGTTGCAACTTCTTACATTTTAACTATGCTTGAAGAAAGCCTCTTTGAAAAAGAAATGTCCAAGTGTGAGATTGTTCTGCAAATGTCTGCATTCTAAACATTATATAATTGGAACGTAACTTTTATCTTTCGTTCGTATATAAGTACGCTACTTCCCTTCGAAATAATCAGTATTGCATATTATGCATTTAAGAAAATTCTAGTTAATCTTAGCTGAAATATGTATCCTTTTTGCTAACATAGCTATGCTCTTTTGTTTTCTATTCAAATTTCAAACTGAGTCGCTGAAATTTATTTTAGGCAATTGATCGTTATCTTGTTTTGGTTGCCGTTTACAGGAGAGTCACACATCAATCTCATTTTAATCAAATGTATTGCGCAAAATCAAACCCCATGGTTAACTTAGTCTTCGATGTGTCGTGCGAATGCAGAAAATTGATTTAAATAGCCACGCCCCTCCAGTCAATCATGGAACGTACATCATACGAACGCTGCCATGGCGCTACTGTATGGCCCTGCGCGTGTTAAAAAACCCAAGGCCGCATCTACTTCCGCGTGACGATTTTCTCTCTCGTTTCTCACAGGAGCGGAAATGACGTTCCATTTTGCCGACCCGGTTCCCTGCTGACCTTTTAGTAGTTAGCGGCTGCTCCTCGAAGCGGCGGCAATGGAGACTGCGGCGAGTCCCGGGGAGCGCTGGGCGCCGGTGGGCGCAGTAGCCGAGGTCCAAGCTGGAGAGGAAGAAGTAGGGGAGGAAATCGAAGCCGAACCAGGATCCCCGCGGGCACTTAAGGCGGAACGCCGCCGTCTTCACTCGGCGCTCCTAGCTTTGGCTTCGCACTTCGCACAGGTCCAGTTTCGGCTCCGGCAAGTGGCGCGTGCCGGCCCAGGACAGCAACAGCGTCTCCTCCGCGAGCTTGAGGAATTCGCTTTCCGCGGCTGCCCCGGCTCCGGCCTTGGCTTTGCCGCCCCGGCGGTGGACGGAGTGGGCAGTGACGCCAAGGTGAGCAGGAGCTGGAGGTCACTACTGCAACATTCCACTGCTGAGATTTTTCAAAGATACATTAGGTAACTTCGTTGCCTAATAAATCCGATTTACTTTATATATGATAGGAATAAATCCGGAGCCACCTGAGATAGTTGAATATTAACCTACTACAAAGATTTCCTGAGCTTGGCTCTGTGCAATGTGAAATTTACCCACAGTGGAAAATATCCCAGTTACTTAAAAGTTTTGATGTTGGTATTTAAAACCATAAAGTAGATTCCCAGTCCCATATTAAAGAAATCGTTACAGTAGTGAAGGATGCAACTCCTGTCAAGCTATTGAAATGAACAGTAGAGAAGAGATTGTTATTACTATGATATTCCCATAATCAATTGATTGACAAAAGACAGAACTTAGATTACCTTAAGATTTTAGCTCATTCTGCTTTTCCTGATAGGTGTGTTCCAATACAATTGAAATTTTATAAATTATTATAAAACCACACTTGGAGTTTTCCACTTCTAAATTTCTGACAATATGAATCACTGAAAATATTTTTTCAACTAGAGCAAATTAATAAAATGCATTGTCCAACAGACATAAGACTTTCTCTTTTCAGAATTAGTATTTGAAGAAGTATGTCCAGTTTTTATAACTTTGTGATTAGTAAATAATCAAGTAAAGTTCAGTAATACGGACTGTGTAGGAAATTTTGAATTTTCAAGCATTTTTATTATATGGCATTTCATTGAAGTATTATGGATGAGTAGAAAGATATAAATAATATTCATATAATCAAGCAGTATAAAGTTTGGAGTCTTCAGTATCACGCCAACTAATTCTGTTAATCCCTAACAAGTTACTGTTGTCAGAGAGCAATTGCTTTAATTAAATTTGATATATTGCCCTGGCAATCACTGACAGCGGATACCAAAAATTCCGTATTTTGAACACCTCTGATAATGTGGGACATGTTGAACAGATAGTCCTTATAGACCAGTGATCCCCAACCTTTTTTACGCCGCGGCCCGGTATCCCCAACCTTTTTTATGGCGCGGCCCGGTACCGGCATTAGCTGGGCGCCGCCATTCTTTTTTTGATGAAAAAGTGCTTCCGGTGAGCTTTCTACCCGGAAAAGCTCACCGGAAGCACTTTTTCATCAAAAAAAGATGGCGGCGCCCAGCAAGTCGGCGGCCCGGTAGGACTTGTTCCACGGACCGGTACCGGTCCGCGGACCGGTGGTTGGGGACCCCTGTTATAGACGATTCACAGTTATGGTGATGATGAAAAAATAATTTTATGGCTGGTTAATCCTCACCTTTAAACTTTTCACAGCATAAAGCTAAAGAAAGGCGTAGGAAGTTTATAAGTACAATTGTGGTTTCATTTAGAGATTGCTTTGCTTAATGACTAAGTTGCCATTGCTAATTGTCACTTAGCAAGGACTACCTGTATTTTAATTTATATGGGAATTTAATTAGATCCCTCTTAAAAGAGTTCCTAGGTAGAGATGTTAAACGGCACATTAATTTTTTTCTGATATACCATGGAATTGTAGTTACCCAAAATATTGCAAATTTTGTCTAGCTGCTGTGAAGCCACAGCAGTGAATACAAGTAGTCCTCATTAATGAAAACAGTTGAGCCTGGAATTTTGATCATAAGTTGTGGTTTGAAGCAGGTCACCATGTGGCATGACTCAATTTTATTACTGTTTTATGATGGTCTTAAACCAAGTCACCACAGTCATTAAGCAAATCATGTAGTTAAGCAAATTCACTCTCCCAAATGGGCTTTTTTTTCCAGAAAGCAACAAAAAAAGATCACAAATTGTGATCATGTGACCACAGGATGCTGCAACCGGTCATAAATAGCAGTAGCACTTAGAAATATAAAATATAAGGGTATTCATTGTGATTAGAGCCAAAACTCACTATTTTAATGAGACCAGGTAAGAATGCTTATGAGTGCAACACAAGTATGAATGTTTGGCTTCAAATGTAATAAACTAAGAATATATGCAATATATATTGTATGTTATTTATAATTATATCAAAAGTTTTTAATTTTCAAAAGAAATTAAAAATACATAAATATTAACACTGGTGAAGCATACAAAATCCTACTTTAATTAGGAATAGGAATGGAATGGAAATGTGATTGGATATACCCTTTATCTCCGGTGCGTAAAGTCACAGTGTATGTAAAAGCAAATAATACAATCATTAATCATAAGTTGCAAACAACAGTTGATAAATCATAAGAAGCCAATAGGAGAAGATAGTAGGAAAGATGAGAAAAGAAAAGCGAGACACTGCTAAATGTTCACTAGAGCAGCGGTTGCCAATCGGTGGGCCGCAAGAAAATTTTGTCGTGCCGCAGAGAAATCTCACCCCCAGAGCACCCCCTAAAGCAATTAATCCAGACTGTGCAGAAACACAAGTCTGCGCCACCCACATGGCCCGCGGGAACCCTTCCCACCCACTCACTCCTTACCTGGCAAACTTTCCTGCTAAATTGCTATTTTTCCTTTTTCCGACCATCAGCTGTTCTGCTGTGCTGGGAGATTTAGATTAGCTAGGAAGCAGGAAATGGTTGGATTTCTTGCTTTCTAGCTAGTCTTTAGATCTTCGGCTCTTCTTTTAAGCACAGCCAAACCTCCCTTAGGACTGAAGGTTCTATTATTCAGTGCAGACACACGGCAAGCAAATTTTATGTGACAGATTCAGGTAGCCAATGGCAGATCACTGAATGATTCTGTGAGCAACTCAATCCACCTGCCTGCTTTACCTGATCTGGAGTAAAAGTTGGTCTTTTTTAATAAAAAATTTAATATTTACATACATGTGTGTTGTGAGTTAATTTTTTGAGTTTGCTAGCTAGCAAATTTTATGTGACAGACTGAGCTCGCCAATGGCAGATAGCTAGATCTCTGAATGAATCTGTGATTCTGTGAGCAACTCAATCTGCCTGCCTGCTTTGCCTGATTTTGGGTAAAAGTTGCTCTTTTTTAATTTAAAAAATCAATATTTATATAAATATTTATAATATTTACATACAAGCCATGCCCAGCCAGTCACATGACCACCAAGCCACACCCACAAATTAGGCCTCTGTCAGACCTCCTGGGAAAGGTGAGAACTCTTCTAATAAACTATGTTACTCACATTCAAGAAGATAATAGTTTATTATAATATGTTCCCTCCAAACAGGCAACAACAATAATCCTGTGTAAAGCCAGTGCTGAGAGCAACTGCCTCTCAGTGCCTTTTATTTGCATATCCCTCCCCTCCTAACTAATCTAACATCCACCGCTCTCCATCCCACATTACTAATCACAACTGCATCTAAACTTCTTTCATGCGCACAATCCAACATCAACAGCTGTATGCTCTTCCCGCCCCCAAGTCCGGTCTGTTTTCAACACAAAGTGTAGCTGAAAAGCCATCTCGGAGCTTAGATCGTAGCTGTCAGGCAGCTCCCGCTCCTGCCCCAGCCAGGTCTCCAGTGCGCCTGGCAGTTGAATGTGTCGATTAGTGATCCCTGGAATTTAAAATTATGAGTTTGGTGGTCCCTGAGGTCCAAAAGGTTGATGACCCCTGCACCAGGGTGATGGCACAGGGGGGAAAACTTATCTTTATGTCTGGTTGTTTTGGCATGCAATGCTCTTTAGCAGCATCCTGAGGGGAGAAGTTGAAACAGTTTATATCCAGGATG